AAACCCTCGAAAAACAGGCCAAAAATGGCACAATTTTTAATGGACTTTGTAGGTCAAATTTTTCAACTTTTTTTTAAAAAAATTGTAAAATCTTGTTTTGTGAGACGCATGATCCAGCCTATAAGACCCAGATTAGTTGAAAAAGCAGCCCCAGAACATCAACATGAGAAAATTTTGCGTCCCAACCCAAATCTCTGATATCCACCAAAAAACAAGGAATTTGGGCATATTTTTCCAATTTTTTTTCAAAACAAGGATCAAAAAGTCAAAATTTTAAGAACTTTGGGCCCTAGAGATGACTAATGGCTATAACTTGGATAAAAAATTTGAAGGCATTTTGAATTGCGCTAGGGAGAAATTGTTTAAGTTTTCAATATAATGAAAAACAAAGAAAATGCAAAATGAAACAAAATTGTATACTAACGGAGTTTGTTTGAGCGTAGCAGTACTTTGCGCCCCGATAAACACGCACTGCAACCTCCACTGAATATATGGACACCTATTTAGTATTATGCAAGGATTGCTTAACATGCCAATTAAACAAAAATACACAAGATTATTGTCAACCCACTAAAGAATCAATATGTTAAAATCTACCACTACATACCCACGATGAAGATCACTTTCATCATCCACCAATTTTAAAATTAGCTTCCGGTACACACACCCAATAGATTTTAAACAGAGACAAAAAACACGACAAAATTTACCAGAAAGTAACAAAAAAATTATTACAAAGACAAAATATTAATTCCCAAATAATTTCCCAATTTACCCCAGCTACAAACTTGAAAATCGAAACATATGTTTTAATTCCAAATTTTACAACACAAGAAGAAATTTCTGAAAAATTACAACCACTCCGAAAAGGACCATATCAAATAATTGATAAACCCACTGATGTAACATACAAACTTATAGACCTAAACAAAAAAGAAATTGTTCAACACCGGAACAATCTTTTACCTTATTATCCAAAAAAGTACGCTATTTGCGAACTGACTCAATTATACTCCTTTACAGGACTGAAAGTTATTCACAATAACTCCGAATATAAACAAAATCAAAGCACTGATATGAATCCTAACCAAAAACCATTAGAAAAAAAAGAACTTAACAAACAAACATCTAAGTATTTAGACAACAAGAAAATCACTCAAACAGTAAGAAAAAACAAAATTAGAAGAAAAATATATACCACAAGATCACAAAGAAAAATTTCTACATAGGCAATCATCTCGACTTCGTAATCAGCAACGAAAAGATTACAAAACATTCATCCCGCAATCTAAAATTTTAGAGAAAGTTGAATTTCAAAAACCACTTTAAAATAATTAACATTTTCACCTCTTGAAGATAAGTTCATGGACCGAACATTTTCTCAAAATTCATGCTGGAAAGCACTTGAACAAACTAGTTCAATTTCAGCCAATAAGAGCCTTTCCGAATCATCACCTTATTTTTGACACGACTTCTTTAGCCGACAAACAATCACCTTCAAGCGTATCTCTAACTATAACTTTAAGACCTCCAGTTCAAAAATAAGCAACCCGCTCAAATTTGACAACTAAAATAAACAAAACCTCAATATTACGACCCTCCCCTATCAACTAGAACAAAAATCAACAATACTGTCCCAGCTAGACCTCGAAATACCCTCAAGCTAAAATATTAAATTAGCCTAAAGAACAAAATCAACATAATCATTTAGCCTAAAGTACAAATAACTCTCAAATACCCCCGATCATCCAATAAACAAAAATAAAATTAGGAAATCCCTTAATAGCCCTCCAAACTTCTCCTCACCAAAAAAAAAGCTTAAACCCAACCTATTTGTCAAAAAACCAATAAATAACCCGACCACACTCGAATTGCTTTGGCCACTTCTCCAAACTAAATACATCATTCGCTTACTAGCTAATCTAATAACATCATCAGAAATAATCCACGACGTTTTTCCCCATAGATTCTTCCCCGACTAATAAGGTAAGTACGAATTAAATAAATTATTCTAATAAATTCGAAACAAAACTAACCATTCTTAAAAAGTGTTTTCTCTTTTTCTTTAGTCTTCACAGGCACGATCATCAATCATCTACAAAAAAAAACGAAACAAAAAACAGAAAACTTTTTCTAGAATCATAAATTTCAATTAACCAAATACAATAAATGAAGCAGTAAAATTTACCCCCAAAACAGCAATAAATTGAAATATGAACTCTTTTCCCATATGCAGTAAGTATTTTTAAAATGAAAATAAATTGATAATTTCAACCCCCAAATAAAGCCGTAAAATTAATGATTTCAAAGTAGTAAATTAATAAAAGTTGCCTATAAAATTAAAGCAGTACTTAGCTTTTCAAAGACGCTTCTTTGTTGTTTTAAAAATTCACTCGCCCACAATCCTATCCACAATCGCACAGCTCGCCCACGAAGAATTGTTTGAAATAATGAATTGAACTTTTAACTTTCACTGCTAATAACTCTAACCAGTTTTAACACATTTCAAACTTTCCTTTAACCCGATTGGAAAAGAATTATATAATAATCCAAACTAACCAACGCAAGCTTACTAAACACCACAAACCACAACCTAACGGCATGACTAAGAAAAAAAAAGCACGGTACCCAAACCTGATTAAAACAAGCTTAGAACTGGATAAATTATTCTCTTAAAAATAACCGAACTAAAACAAGAACGCTTTTGCGATAAAAATTAATACAAGATCATAACTAAAAACAAAATTAACAAAGATTTGTATATGTAAATAATACAATGCAGTATATAGATTACATACAGCCCAAAGACGAGCAGCAAGGAATTTGACAACCCAATCACACTCTAACTACGGAATGGCAAAATACACCCGATATGCTGCCTACAGTCACTACACTCAACGGATTCAAAGTACGACTTGGCATCGCAGCAAAGGAAACCCATTGCAACAGAACAATGGCCATATCGATGTTCAAGTATACGTACAGATCCAAGTCACCAGGCACTGCATCCAAAGTCGAACTAAATGGTACTGTCGAAAGCAACCCATTCCTATTCTCTAAAAGCAACCAGATCAACACTCATCACAACCGATCAGAAATCATAATACGATCTCCCGAAACTATCGTGATAACATCTCTTCTTCCAAACCAGAAAAAAAGAATATGCTCGCAACCTATAAAGAAAAACACCACCATCCATCCTACACTACAATACAACATTGAAAAACTAAAACTCTCTAAACCCCGGATGGGTGGAACCAGATCTAAACTAGTATTTATCATTGGTTATTATTATGATATTTTATCTCTATAAAATATTAAATACTAACCAATCATACTCCATCAAACTAACAACCCACTTATTTGTAAGTGTTGAAACTACTTGTAGTTTCAACACCAGAGCAATTTGAATTAAACTTAGAATACAGTTCTTCTCATTCTGGAACTAACTCGCTTAAACCGGTGTACACTAGATGTATTGAGACTAGGAGATATTAGAGTAAGATTAAGATTGGTTTTAGACTAAGAAGTCGCACGAATCTATCTGGCCGAAAATAAGATAGCGCGACGAGCAGACGGTGTACCTTATCTGAAATTACTCTATGAGTTATAACCAAAAGGATATAACTCACTACCCAAAGGTTAACTAAGCTATAGCTATCATACAAGATCTCACCTCTTAAACTGCAGCGCACGTGCGATTTGAACCCGCAATCATATGATTGCTAGGCACTATCACTACCGATGCGCCACAACGCCAACTATTTGAAGTTTCAATGGAGGTAATACATCTCTGCTCGTTTCCGACACTTTTCTGCTCCCCTGTTTCCCGACTACAGAGAAGTGTTGCGATGTAGTTAAATGTTCTCCAGATTTGTTATTTGAGAAAGAATTATAGAAAGAAGCTGAGCTCTCAATGCCAGATAGTAGGCTTTGAAGTGCATTGAAAGAGCATCGTGAAAAACTGTCGAAAAAAAACCAAAGAAACGTACCCCAATCATGCAAAAAATTCGAGTCTGGAGAATTCATTAACTTCTGTGCAGTCGAAAAAAGTTCTATCGGCAACAAAGGACGGTCGTGGTTTTGCCGTGCCTGTTCGGCAAAAAGTTACAAACTTACTGGTTGAGTTAATTGGAGAGTATCAAACTCCAGAGTTAATGAGGAAGGCAAACAAGACTCGATACTGAGAAGAATTCAAATAAATTATGGACAAACATAGGTCAATTCTGGTGTATTTCTGCGTGTGGATCACCCGAGTCGAGATTTTTCACCTAATTTGAAGCAAGATTTGAGCGGTTTGAGTAGTTTTTTTTAGACGATTGCGCTCAAAATCTTGCTTCAAAATGAGCCGTTTATCTAAAAAAAACCGCTCAAAAACAACGTAAAGTTTGAGCGGTTAGAGCGGTTTTTCCAAAAAAAACGCCCAAACCGCTCAAATCTTGCTGGAAAATCACTCAAACCGCTCATATCTTGAGCGGTTTTTGAGCGGGGTCTCGACCCGGCCATCCTCAATGACAACATTGTAATCCCACAAAAAAGTCATATCTTCAAAGATTTTCCCACTTTAAAGGAGGTTATCTTAGAAGACCTTGCAAGAATCTTTTGAGATCTTTTAAGGCTATGCATCTTTTAAAGAAACTTGGAAAATTCTTGCAAGATCGTGCAAGATAACTTTCGTTGATCGACTAGGGTAAAGAGGGAATATTGCCAATAAAATTTGAATGGACATTTTTTTGGGGAAATTATATACGCCCGACTTGATACGTTTTCAGCAATTTTTGCTTTGCAGTCAGAAGGGAAATTATGTTGTATGAAATTTTCCCGTTTTTCGCTTGATACTCAATTCAATCATGTTCATCATAAAGCTTCAAAGATCCGTTATTATGATTGATAAACCATAACAAATTAAGATTACTTTTTAGTCTTTCACCAGCTCTCTGGGATCAGGTCTGAAGTTCTCAATTTTGAGTTTTAGTAAACTTGGAAATTTTGGGTTTCAGGAAACCACTTCGTTGAAAGGGGTCATAGTAACATCAGTGCTGGCCGCAACTTTGGAAATGTTGATTTCCATTCCAATATATCGAACACTTCAAGACATTCATGCTCAAAATGGATGGGAGTCCGTTCCATATGACTATGGCAGATTCCACCTTAGCTATCGTCATAGATACTCACTTCTATTGAGCAATGGAGCTGCGCCGTTCACGAGAAAGTTTGGAGAACACTATGAAAATATGATATCTATAGGTGAGTGTGTTGTTTTTTTTATCAATCAAAATAAAAACGAACCGAGAATTTAGATGTTTTTTT